GAAAATGAACGATGACAGTTTTATAGGGTGAGATGGAAGTTGGAAGTGATGATGGGATGGGAAGATGATAAGGAGATGATACATGACCCAAACATGAGCATACAAGGCCATCTAGGTGATGATATGAAGTTGACAGAGGTGGCGTTCGCGTCGCGATTTTTCGGTATTTTTGCTATATCTTGCCCAATATGGAAGCTGTTGGTAAGCTACCTATATGGGCGATATCGTGGGAAAAAGGAGCACGATCTGCAATAGATATGAAGCGTGGGAATAAATTACCATTTTTGGAATGAAAGAAAGCGGCAGAGCGAGTGGAGCTGTGGAGTACCATGGTGTATGATGAAAGTAGACTGGACGATGAGCAAGGGGAGTGGGAGAGTGACCTGATGGTACAGCAGTTTGGCAAAGATGTGCAATGATGTTGGTGAAATAGCCAAGTGAGGACGGCAAGCTGTACCTGCCAAATTCAGCCACACAAGCACAAGGACAGTGACTTTGGCAGAACATCTGCGTTGTTGACACACATGGTGTGAGTGGCCCCTGTTAGCACTGCCATGTCTGGATGGGACCTTGGACATTGATATGGAAACTGGTGTAACTGCAGGTGGGGAGATGAAAAGTGGACGGCTGGAAGATGAAGATGGAGAAGGACAGTGAGTGAAGGGAGAGAATGAAAGAGATAGACATGCAAGCAAGAAGAACCCAGGTTGATGATGGCATGGGAACTGTGCACCCGAAAGGGAAAAAAAAGAATGGGAGGATGAGTAACCCGTAACCCGTAATGAGGGAGGAGTGAACCGAGGGGGAGTGGTGTACAGTTGCCGGACATGAGTCGGAGGGGCATACCGAGCGGAGCGAGGTGTGACCCGGTTAGAAAACCCGTAGAGGGTTAGGGTGGTAGCTTGCCCGACGAGCGAAGCGAGGAGGGTAAGCGTAAAGAGAAGAGGAGTTGAAACTTGGTCAACAGGGCTGGGGATTTCCCCAGGCCAACCTGTTTCGTATATATACTCTTCAGGACCAAAATAGTTTCAAGGTGGAGTACCATCGGATGTCTGTAGAGAGGCGGGAGACGCCTCTACGGGTGCATCCAAATGACATCATTGTATAGGAATAGATGTTAGTAAGCGTTTCAGCTATACTTAGCATGCTTGATGACTGATATGAATGCCGAGGCCGATGCGATCGCATCGAGATTACCTTAAATGATATAATCGTCCCACAGTGGGAAAATAACCTATAAATAGGTGTTTCATGTAAAAATACCTGAAACTTCTCACGCCCTAAGAATAGTCAGTTCCACGTGACTAATAAGCGCTCGGGATTAGCCGGGCGTCTATCTCCTACGTTCTAATAATCTTATACCGCTCGTAAGGGCTAATCTGGACGGTCGCCTGGTCGCCGGATGGTTTCTAGGGAGCTGGGGACCCTGATTTCTGCACACAGCAGGGTAAACCATATCCAAATATGGTAACTTTAAAATCCCAGCCCAATCGGGTAATTTTTATCGGCGACCATGGGCGACCGCTCAGCCATCTATGGTCGCTGGCCAGTGCTGGGTGGTGAACCTTCTGGGAAGGGAAGTGGCTGTATAAGGCAAGTGTGATGACTAATGGACCCAAACTAGGGTATCAACAGTCACATACATGTTAGTCATCCATCTGTACAGCCACTGGATAGTGCCAATCACCCATCCGCAGTCGCCAGACACCAGTCGCCGGTCGCCGACCTCACAGTTAGCAGTCGCCGGACGCCGGACGCCGGTCTGCTGGCAGTGACCAGTCGCCGGTCGCCAGTCAACGGTCGCCGGTCGCCGTCAAGCTCGGTGAGTTTTGAAAATGAACGATGACAGTTTTATAGGGTGAGATGGAAGTTGGAAGTGATGATGGGATGGGAAGATGATAAGGAGATGATACATGACCCAAACATGAGCATACAAGGCCATCTAGGTGATGATATGAAGTTGACAGAGGTGGCGTTCGCGTCGCGATTTTTCGGTATTTTTGCTATATCTTGCCCAATATGGAAGCTGTTGGTAAGCTACCTATATGGGCGATATCGTGGGAAAAAGGAGCACGATCTGCAATAGATATGAAGCGTGGGAATAAATTACCATTTTTGGAATGAAAGAAAGCGGCAGAGCGAGTGGAGCTGTGGAGTACCATGGTGTATGATGAAAGTAGACTGGACGATGAGCAAGGGGAGTGGGAGAGTG